GGCTTGTGGAAAAATCTCCACTGCTGGGCTTTTCCATGTACCTGCTTCCCTTCATGAGGTAATGGACCTACAGAAAAGATTCCAGTTACTTGTGGGCCTGTTTAGTCAAGTGCTGTCTCAAAAAAAAAAACCAACAAAAACCAAGACTCAAAGTAATTTTACTCTGATAAGCATCTTCCAACACTAACCATAACTGAGTATCTGATTCCATGTGAGGACAAGCCTGCAATGAGCTGAGATGTCCTGACACACACAGCCAAGACACCCATTGGTTATATTAACACCAGGAGCTGCAGTACAGACTCAGGTTCTCCATGGCACAGGGCTTTCCAGCAAGGCTCTAGTCCCTCTTCAGCACTCTCTCCAACTTTCCTGGGAGCAGACCAAGTTCAAGCCATGCCCTGCTCCTACAGCAACCAGGCTGCTAAGCCAAGGACTACTGGGCACCCCTACAGCTGAGCAACCAAGACCCCCAGATCCCAGCGCTTCCCTTCTTTCCAGCATCATCCCTCAACTCCCCACTGTGCTTTCACTCCTGAGCCATTTCCAGTACTTGATCTTTTCTACCTGCAGTCAAGCCTCAGCTCCATCTCAGCCACAAACAGCTCTTGCAGAATAGTTGATTTCTCTCATTATTTAACCAGAGGCTTTCTGGCTTTGCTCTCACCACCCACTCCAGTAATGTGCAATTACAAGACTTGAAGAAAAATAAAAGGGAAGTGGCACGTCATGGCAGACCAGTGCTGCCACGATCTGTTCTTCCATCTCTCATCTCCAATAAAAATAATGGATCAAATTCTCTTCTTGCCTCTTGGGACATCATGTCAGGCAGCTGCTTCTTATGCACAGAGACTTTACCCCAAAACATAACACTTTACACAGACTCTTGCCTTTTATCTTCTGCTACTCAATGGGTGAAAGTCAAAGGCAACACTATCAGCAATTTCTGCAACATGATTTCAGGCCCATCTTCATGTTGGACATAGACTGATGCCAAATTTGGCATTTGCAGTATGTCCAAGAGACAGGCTTCTGTTCTCCATTTTTACTAAAAGCTCAGTTCCTTGCCCTTGGAAACAGATGAAAAAATAAAATTGGTATTTGCTAAATAAGGGGACTGTTCAGAAGAAAATGTTTCTAGGGTGTAGGCTGTTCTTGATCTTCTCAAGGCAAGCAGTCACACGAGATCAAACCCACAAGGCATGATCAGCCCAGTACCTGTGTCATTCAGGCACCACAATAATTTCTTTGGAAATGTTTGGCAAACTGCTTTTCCCCTTTGTATTTCCCATCTGCTTGGCTAGAAAGTAAAAGCCAGCTGAAGCAGCAAGAGGCCCCGCTTCTTCAACCACAGATGCATCATGGATGATGTTCCACCTTCAAGTTCCTGCACAGACAAGACCTGGGGGATTTGGGAGAGCTCCTGTCATGGGGACAGACACAGGGACAGACATGCAGGTAGGCCAGCTGCTAACTCAGGCCATTAGTCATTGCAAGCACTTTCCAGACCTCTAGACAATTTAATCCAGTAAGAATCCTTGGCATTTGCCATCTTGGCTGGAACACATCCATGTTACAGACACGGGTCTTGCTTTAACACCAGGCTCCCAAGCTACTGCTATTTTTAGGTTTGGGCTGTTATTTAAGGCACGTGTTATGGGCAGAGAGAGCACAGGGCATAGACACCAGCTCATGGGCAGATGAGGACAAGCAAAATGTCCCGTGACAACATCCACTGCTCAGGATCACACACATATCTCAACTATGTAAGCCATCCAGTATATCAAGCATCGTGAGGAACTGGGCAAGGGTCTGAGCCACTACTTCCACCCTAAACACTCTTCTCTTTCGGGAAGAAGCCAAATCACAGCATTCCAGTGCTGGTGCCACCCTGACCACGCTCCACTCAGAACTGATGGGCTAAAAGAAATTTGTAATAAAAATCTTTTGGAAATTCCTCCAAACTGACAAAGCCCTGGATGCCAGTTGCACTCCCATCGGCATCACGGAGGCGCGCAGGGTGCTGGGGCGTTGGCAGCCACCCAAGCATAGCTCCTCCAACCAGAGGCTGCAGCACCTACGTCAGACACTGTCTCTTCCCTTTCAAAGGTTAAGGCTGTTTACTGAAAGGATTAGGAGGGAGGAGATGGTAAAGTAGCAGGAGCCAGGGGAGACTGTGCGTAACAGCTACGTACACAGGCTTCACCCCAGCAATAAACACGCCCCAACTCCTTGTTGGCGTGGCCAGCCAACATACAGGAGGGGAGGTCATCTGGATGTCAGCACACTGCCAACACGAAATCCTGGGCTTTATACCCAGCTCAGAAGATGATTTAAACCTAACAGCTTACCCTCCACAGCCCTAGAGCAACCACAGACCAGGCTGACACCTGAATACCTGGGGCGCAGCTGTGGCACTCACATCTATGGAGTCTTTGCTCTGGCTGCCTAGCACGGAGGGATCTGTGCCAGCAGCTTGGGAGGGGAAAGATTTTCCCTCTGCAACAGCCTGAAGTTTGTTCCTGGCTATATTCACCCTTGTCTGAAACGTTGCTTCAGGACGAAGCACAATTTGGGTATGAACATTGCTGGAGCAGCAGAAAGCGAAGCCATGAGGCTGCAGCTCTGCAGTACATCTCAGCTGTACAGCCAGTTAGTCAATCGAAGGTCAGTTCCTCTCTAGCACTACATCCTCTCTCATTTCAAGTAAACAGCCTTACAAGCCGGGTGTTTCAATAGGAAAACCAAAGAGGGATTTATACATCACTACGGAGAACAATTTCCACATCCGACATGCCAGAGCACCACCATGAAGTAAGAACTAAGGAGCAAGGCACTTCCAGCTAATGTAACGTGATTTAGGCAATGCCAGAGCTGCACTGGAAACAAGACAAAGCACTAACCGGTTTGCACTCGCCCGTCTGCCTTCAGTGCACACAGTTCAACTGAGGACAGTGGCAGAGGAAGTCATGAAGCCACCCAGGCCAACATGGAACCAGCATGACTATTGCAAGAACGACTGGGAGGGAAGTACAAAACGGCCCAACAAGGAACCCTGAGTAACAGGGCAACTCACTTTCAGACCTGAGCAACTCGATCAGATATGGGCTGTCATATCTGTCATCTAAGTATGGCTTTTGCTGTTAGGTCCAGCTTATTCCCCCAAGACAAGGGGAAACTTAGCAAGCATCTTGTTAATTTGATGCTCTAGATGAATTCAGATGCTAAAGGATAACAGAAGAGATTCATCTTGGGAAGCACAGGAGGACCCATGAATGATGCTGTCCCCCAGAGGATAATGAGATCTGGGAGGTGGGATTATAACTGAACGGGCTAACACAGTTTCATTGTTCACCACACATCACTGTAGCCTGAATCATGTTTGGTGACCACATGCAGAGCACTGCTGAGAAAGACAGCTCTAACATGGCCTCCAGGAGAAGGGCCAGCTGCATGGGGTCTGAAATGCCACGTTAGGAACCAGAACTGCATCCTCTCAAAGCATCTCACTCTGGTCCTAGCACTCAAGCACTTCCCACCCTGTACAAACTCGGCCCCTAGCTTTGAGATGCTTCAAAAACCAGGCAAGCGTCAGAAATTAAACCACCTTTGGGTTGGGAAAACCAACTTTTAAGATCTTGGGAAAAAAAAATAAAGTTACTACAAGTTAGTAACAACCAGCCACTTCTGGCTAATGAACCATGGCCAAAGTAATGTAGTAATTCTGGTAGTGCCCAGAAATAAGGTTCTGCAACCCCACTGCAGATCACTCGCTATAGCCTCAAGGATCATGCAACAGGTATGACAAATCTTAGGGACAATGGAACACAGGGGTTACCAGAAAATGCTATTGCAACCAGAAAAAAGCTCAAGAAACCACACTCCAAGAAGTCAGAAGAGTTAAAAGGAAACTGAGTAAGTAGCACAAACAAAAGAGAAGGCACAAAATTAAATCCAACAAGACCTTACTGGTTCCATAAATGCATTAATGAAGGCAAATAAAGTGTAGGTCTATTAATCAGCAGGAAGGAAGAAAGAGTACATGACAGAAGGCACCCCACTCAAAGCCTTCTTTGCTTTGTACTTAAGCACTCAAGAATGACTTTCATCAAGGACTGATCTCCTAAACCTTCCTATCTTTTTCCAATTCATTCTTTGTTTGCCCTCCTCCCCTTGTTAAATATGCTTTTCTAAAGGTTAACTGCAAACAAATGTTTAAAGTTAAGCAACCTCAACCCAAAGTAAGGACTCATCAGTGCTGTCTGTACAAGACAAGGAGGGTCAAAATTGCCTCTGTAGCTTTGCAGAGGAAGAACCATGCAGCCTGCTAGGGAGATCACAGCTGCTTGGTGCTCACATTCATACCACCATTAATTTATCACTAACTTTTACAAATTTAAAGCCCACAACTGGTCATCTTTAGTGTCTCATCAAAAAGCTGACAAGTCATCCACAAAAAGAACAGAAAACACTACAAAGCAAAGCCTCCAGGAAGACCCGATGGCACTCATGGAGCTGTACTCCTCCCGTGACAGCCTTTAAGGACAACCTTCCTGGCTCCAGCATGGGCAAAGGACTGGAAACACAAGCCAGCAGTCTGGATTTAGGGCTAAGAACCCTAAGAGCCCTTGAGGCGCTGCCAAGAGGCGGGGGATGACTCAGCCTTCCAGAAACAGACAGGGTGAGGGAAAAAGGGCCACACGAAAAGACAACTGGACCCATGCCTGAGTCACTGAGAAAATAAGGAGAGGAGCTGGGGCAAGCAGGTGACATTCCCTTCATTAACCCTTCCTTCTAGAGAATACACCATGGGAACAGGAAGGGGGAGACAGCAAGGATGAAGAAACATCTAAGAAACCAGTATATGGGCTTTGTTCTTGCTACAAGACCCAGGAAGTCAGAAAAGCAACTGGTCGTTGGACTTGAGGATGCCCCCCCCCACCAAAGAACCACATGGCATGGTGGAGAGGACATTACCCCCCACAGCCACCACTGCTCACCATGCCCGTTGCAGTAATAGATCCACTTCTCCCTGTTCTGCGTGGGGGTGGTGGACTTTTTCATGATAGCTTTTTCCACAATGGCACTGGGATCTTGTCTGGGTCCCTTCTTCAGAGTCCTTGAGCTCTTCCTGACACTGCAGACGACGATAACCACCAGGACCAGCAGGAGGAAGAGAACGATCATCCATGGCAAGTGTTCATTGATGTCAAAGTGCTGGTGGATGTTCTGTGAACCTCTCCGGGGGGGCCTGTATGGGGCACTGGACTTCTCACGCCCCGCCATATCCAGTGATGGCTGCTTCTCCAGCGCTTGACTGGTCTGCTTGTGCCGGTAGCTCTGTGCCTGGCTGGCAGGGATGGAGCCTGCAGGAGCCCTGTTGGTACCGTCCGTCTCGTTGGTGGCTTCTGTCTCATCAGCCAATGTTTTGTTGAAGAAGCCTGCTGGCTCTGCCGTGCCACTTGATGCGTGTGGCACAGGAGAGGGGACAAAATCGGGGGCTGAAGAGTTCAAACCTGCAAAAGGAGAGGAGAGCTCAGTGTCATGGCACTGGAGACGTGATACGGCATCATGTCACAGTCTAAGATCTGCCTGAGCTTTTGCTGGGCCAGCAGACAGAAACCCAATGCCAGGCAGGGAGGAAGGGAAGAGGTGAAGTTGAGGTTTGGCTCCAGGAACAAATGGGTATAGTTACAGAGATAGGTTCAGGATAAAACTGACCCTTGCTGGTTAAGTCTAGTGGCAACTTGTTTAAAAAACAAGTTATTAAAGGTATGTTGTCAACTTGTGTTTCTCCTACATTCAGTACTTCTCAGAAAACCTACAACTTTGAGGTTTCCTAGGTTTACAAACATGGGCTTAATTCCAAATGTGGAAAACATGGTATCTGGGCTAGAAACACATGAAAATTTGGAGGCTTAGTTTAGCTACCTCTACCTGGTTTTGCTAAGGAAGTACAAATGCTTTTATCAACACTGTAAGCAGCCATGGATGCACCAACTGCAAAACAGGTTTCTGAAGCAAACAACCTTCCTCTAAGAGCTACTTTCCATCTTGATCGGGTTTTCTTAGCAACCAACAGCTCTCAGGTCCCTGCCAGCTGCTTGACCAAAGCCTTGCAAGAAGAGGAAGGGCTTTTGTGGCCAAAAACTAGAGCTTACTTTGGAAGCAGCTTTTGAAGATCATGTCTCAGCCCATTTGAGCCAAAGAGCAGGTGGAACAACCTGTAACCTGCATCCAGTTACCAGTGGTGTCTCCCAGGGATCAGTACTGGGCCCAGTCCTATGAAATATTTTTAATGATGACTTGGATCAGGGGATCAAGTCTACCCTTAGTAAATTCACAGATGACACCAAGTTGGGGAAGAGTGTCAATCTGCTGGATGCTGCAGATGGACCTGGACAGGCTGGATCAACGGACTGAGGCCAACGGTATGAGGTTTGTTGAGGAGACTCAGGGGGGACCTTATCACTGTCTACAACTACCTGCAGGGAGGTTGTAGTCAGATGGAGGTCGGGATCTTCTCCCAGGCAACTAGCAACTACAGAAAAAACATCAGAAAAAACTTCTTTCCTGTAAGACTGACAGAGCACTGGAACAGGCTGCCCAGAGAGGTTGTGGAGTCTTCTTCTCTGGAGACACTCAAAACCCACCTGGACACGTTCCTGTGTGATGTGCTCTGGGTGATCCTGCTCTGGCAGGGGGGTTGGACTGGATGGTCTTTCGAGGTCCCTTCCCACCCCTAAGATTCTGTGATTCTGGGACAAGAGAGCATGACCTGAAGCTGCTCCAGAGGAGGTTTAGGCCGGATATTAGGAAGCACCTTCTTATGGAAAGGGTGATCAGATATTGGAATGGACAGCTTGGAGAAGTGGTGGAGTCACCATCCCTGGAGGTCTTTAAGGAAAGGCTGGATGTGGCACTTAGTGCCATGGTCTAGCTGATTTGGTGGTACTAGGTCACAGGATGGACCTGATGATCTCAGAGGTCTTTTCCAGCATCCATAATTCTGTGATTCTGTAACCTGAATTTACCTCTGACTTGGCTACCCCGAACACTCTGAGCTGGGTACAAACAGCAAATACGCTTTAACTTCTACCTAATTGTCTACAGTTGATTTCAAAGTTCAGGAAATAACCTCCCAACTTCTTCCAATGGCACACCAATATCATACCAAACTTTGAGACAAAGAAGCAGTGGGGGTCTACCACTCTTAACACTATTTTACCAACTCAGGTGTTCAAACCAACAAAAGTTAACATTTTACTTAAAATGCACCACCAGAGACACTGTGAGGCTAAACACCACCTCAAACTGGGTTCTTCAGCACCACTGCAACTAGCCACAGCAAAAGCATCTCCCTCAAGGCAGTGATGATATTAACTTCAATTAAATGAGATAGTGGGGAATTCAACCTGGTCCTCCCCACCAGTGGTAACAGAAACATTATTAAATGCAGTTTAGAGGAAGCTGATGCACCCTGGAGCTGCCTTCTGGCCATGAAGCAAAAGCACAATCTACGCTTTAGACCAGGCTTCCATTTAACAGCCTAAAGCCTGTCTTGACTGAGGCAGGAACACAATCTTACGACCCAAAACATGTCTGTTTTACTGACATGGACATTACCTTTGGGAAGATGGGCGGTTGGTGGAACTTCATAGGGCTCTTCACCTGCTTCAGTGCTTGACGAAATCAAAGACGTGTTCGGAAGAGATGCTGGAGAACCACAGACGTTGTCACTCTCCTTCGTCCCCGGCTTGATCACCACCATGTTTTTCCCAAAGCAGTCAGTGTACGTTTTGCACTTCATCACGCTAGAAGGCACATCAGAAAAGGTACCACGAGGGCACGGCTTGCACTTAACATCTTCTGTCTCGGTTCCTTTCTTGCGGACGCCCCAGCCGACCGGGCACACCGTGTAAGGGATGCAGGTATCGTTCGTCTGAAACGTACCAGACAGGCAAGTGCACTCGCGGTCAGTCAAGGCAGTACAATGAGTTTTCTCAATCATTGGCAGTTCACAGGGTTTTCTACAAGGATGGCACCGCTCTATGCCGTTCTCATGCTTAGTAAAGGTCCCATCTGGACACGGGCTGCACTCTCTTAAGGTACTCTTCGTACAGTGTTTAGACACGTAGGTTCCTGCAGGACATTTGTCGCAGATCAGCTCTTTGTTGGTGGCACGGTCAAAGTGGCGGTACTTGCCAGGGGAGAGGCTGATGGCATTCTGCTCAGAGGTCTTCTCTGACTGGCTCCTCGCGGTGCCAAGGAGCAGGAGCAGCTGGAAGACAGACAGGAGGTATTAGTCAACAACAGCATGTGGCCGGAGCCCTCTCTGCCCGCAATCCCTTGCAGGATCATGAAGCGCATCGCAGAGCTGCAGGACCACAGAGGTGTTCCCACATGGAGGGAAAGGAGCTCAGCAAGGCTGGGGTAGAAGTAAACCAGAGCAGACTGCAGCACACTCTCCGGATACATCAACAGCTACAATTATAATTCCTTAAATTTGACACCAGGTTTCTCAGTGAGACTAAGCATCATTTACACTGCAGCCCTGCCAGGGCAGTAAATACTGCTAATTGTGTTTCAGCAGTACGTGCTACCTGGCCACCTGAGGAGAATTCAGAGTAGCTTTGCATTTCAAGGCTGAGAGGCTCCAACACGAGCCAGGTACTTGTCAAGAAGACAAAAAACACACGCAGGTGGCAAGCTCTGACCTATAAAACTTTCCTCCTCTGTATTTATTAATCGGCACTTGTTCAAATAGTTACCTTTCTAAATAATGCCAACCAGGATGCAACCCAGGCCAACAGGCATTACCGGAGTATTTCTCAGCCCCTCTGCCCTTCCATGATTTTTTTATGACCCTGCATAAGCATAGGGTTTAGTGAGACTACAAGGGATATTCTACTTCAAGCCTCCAACCACATCTGAACCCACTTTAAACCAGATGTGTTAGCAACAGGAGAGAAAACACGATGCTATTTTGAAGCTCTCTGAGAAGTTCTGCTGTAACTCAGTTCCTCATTGCATCAGACACAAGTAAAAGGTCTCCAATTTTCAGACATCTAACTGCACCCAGATGGGGTTTCATACATGATGACTACAAAGCTGTTTATCTCTATCTATGCCAAATGCCAGGGCTTTATTCCTTTAATTCCTTTCCATTAAGGTTTCTCCACCAAGAAAAGCCATGTCTAACAAGCAGAACCTACACTTCCTCCAGAAGACCTCTGGTCCCTGGATTTACCATCAGTTATGCCAGCAGACACGATACCAACACCTAAAGACATATCAGAAGAAAGGCTGACACCACCTCACACAGCACGCAAACACATTCTCAAACATCTACAGGCTGAGTTAGGAGAGAGAGGGAGGAATGAGCCAACATTACCTTGAACTTCCAAAGGTGCTTTCCTACACTGAAGGCAGAAAGACCAGAGACCCTAATGCTTTTCGGCAGCACATAAATCAGTTGGCTATGTTACACAAGCCCTTGCTTTTGCTCTGCTACCTATTCTGGGCTATCAGCCAGGAAGAATATATTCAGAAGGGGAAAAAAAAAAGCCTCCCAACAACATGACTCTGCAGAAGGAACATCGCAGCAGAGCCGCAAGCCACGCCGCATCATTTTTGGTGCAGTCTCTTGCTTCTTGGAAACACACAGCTAAATAATTTACAGCTCAAATCTTATACAAAACACTTAATTTTATTATTTTTTTAATAATTTTTGGGTTTTTTTTCTCCTGAAGCAGCAATTATAGAGCAGGCAGAAGCAGGCAAGCCTGCAGGAGTTGACAAGGATCCTGCAGTGGCCAGGCTAATTACAACACATCAAATTAAAATTAAAAGCAGGGCTGCCCTGGCAGGCAGCAAAGGCTTACAGGGTGCATTTTATTTTTCCCCTCCCCTAAGACATGATTTAACGAAGCACTTAGCTGGCTCTAAAGAAACCTGCTGCCTGTAATCTTCATGATGTAACCCTGAATTAGCAAACCAAGCATAGCAGGATCCAGCCACCTGAGGTTGCGTGGAAGGTCACCTGAGTTACTCATCCTCCTCCCTGTGCCAGTGCTGGGGCATCAGGAGAGGCAGGACAGGCAGCAGCTCTCCTGCCTTGCTGGGGATGAACTATGTGCTACCATCTCAGATCCAGATTTCTTCCTCTGCACCAAGACAGCCCTCAGAAAATCGGTGGACAAGCTTGGCAAAAGCATGTGCCATGGGTTTCATCCTGCTCTCCCTTTTCTTCCCATCTCCAGCATGTTTTCATCACTCATAGAATCATCATCACAGAATGGTTAGGGTTGGAAGGAACCTCAAAGACTATTTAGTTCCACCCCACCTTCTTCCTAACATCTAACCTAAATTACCCCTCTTCCAGTTTAAAGCCCTTATCCCTGGTCCTGTTGCTCCATGCCCTTGTAAGAAGTTCCTCCCCAGCCTTTTTGTAAATCCCGTCAGGTACTGGATGAAGTGAGACCTGCACTATTGCAACAGCATCAGGTTTTGGGGTTTTTTCACTTGAGCTCGTTGTGTTGTGTTTTTTTTTAAACCCTATCTCAAGCAGAGTAGAATCGGAGCTTTTGAACACCCCCAGATCTTCAGCTGCAGACACATTTCCAAGTTTAGGGACAGCAAGTCCCAGGGGGGAAGGCTGAACAACATTGAGCATCCACTATTTACTGGTGTTTCTGGTCCCTAAAACACCTAGCTGCTCAGGTTTTGTGGCTGGCACCACTCAGATGTCCGAGAAGGCCAGGAGCAGGATGTCTTCAATAGTGTCCCGGTTTGAGAATACCAGGATGAAAATTTCCTATAGCCATACTGACCCAAGACCTCCTGGGATGCCCCCAGCTGTGGCAGTGGGGGGACAGCTGTGCCTGTGGGGAGCAGAGGGTGGGACAGGTGACCAACATAGAACAACCACACTGTTCCTGCCCATGGCACTCGGTATAAAATGGCTCCTCAGAGAGCCCCAGCACCCTCCTCTGGCTGGTGTCCTGGCAGGGTTGGGGTTTGTTCTCTCTCCTGCTGCTCCTGCATCCCATTTTCTTGCTGAAAAATATCATGGACCAGGACAGGTCACCTCCTCCTGCTCCCCTTTTCCCTCCCCCCCCCCCCCCCCCACACGCCATTAAAATCGCCTTCCTAACAAGCCTCGTACCCGCAACCCTGTTCATCTACTCCCCCCCCCAACCTGCTGCTGAGTCCAGTTTGGGACTTCTCTGGTTGGGAATTACCGACTGAGGAGCGTCGGTTCCATATTTACATATTTGTGTAATTCACCATCATCATTATTATTGCTACTACTTTCAACCTACTCTGTTGGGTTTTTTCCCCAACCTTAAAGTCTCCCTCCCTTATTCCCCTTTTTGTCTTCCCCTGGGAAGATAGTGAGGAGGTAACAGAGAGCATCTATCACCTGGTTACTGGCTAAAACTGACACACAGAAAGGGCTGACTGCTGGTTTAGTTTCATATCCTCACAACTGCCCAGCAGGATGCAAAATGAGACCTTTCTAGCTGATACACTCAGCTCCCGTGGTAAAAGCAAGTAATGAAGTAAGCACTGCTCAGTCACTAGATTTCAGTTCATTACTCCAATACCAAAGCAAGTGTATAGGGTAACCAAAAACACAGAAACAGGGAATTGGTGCAAGACCACAACAGAGAGCAGATCTGGTTTCCAGCCACTTCAGTGCCTGCTGAAGAAGCAGCTCTCAATGCTGAAGCCAAAAGGCTTGAGCGGGATGAGGCAGCCAGGATCCCAAACTGCTCAGCACTAACACCCCATATCCCATGGACAAAGGCAATTCCCAGCTGTGTCCACCTATTCCAACACCTGGAGGTTTTTCACCACAAGAAAAATAAATCCAGCTTGGGAACGCTCCGATTTTCATAGAACCACAGAATGGTTGTTAGAAAGGACCTTAAAGACCATTCAGGTTCCAATCTCCCTGCTATAAGCAGGGATGCTTCTCAGGAGACCAGACTGCACAAGGCCTCACTCAATTTTCACCTCCATGCTGGGAAAATGTCTCAGACCAGAGGATCTTCATGCTCAGCTACAAACAAACCCTTTGAGCCAGCAGCACCCCACAGCTGACACAGGCATGACCACGACCCAGCTTGATGATTCCATCTCAGCAGTTGAATCTATGCTGTGCCTCCACCACCCTCTTAAACAACTGCACGCTTAAAGAGAGACCTGATGGGCAATTTGCACAGTAAACAGCTTTTAAGGGGACACAAGTTTCCCAGGCACGTGCACCAGGAATGCAGCTGGGAATAGAGCTGCTCATCTGGGACACTAATCTGCTCAGTGTCCCAGAGAGCCAGTGCGCCGGCTGAAAGGCGGTGGAACCAACAGGCATTTGTGTCCCGAAATGGGTGACACCTCAAGACACTCAACATCTCAGGTGGTGTTAAGCAATGCCTCACCACCAGCCCCAGGGGGAGGCTGCAATACATCTAAAATATATATTTTTTTTAATGTACAAAGGCAAATGCCAACTAAATAAAGGGCACTTGAGCCCAGGAGAGAAGAGCAGGAGCACAGGCAGGGAGAGCTGTAAGTAAGCAGGGACCGACAGAGCTAAATCGGTACTCTGGGAACTGCTTCTGAGCAAAACCAGTAAAATTGGGTAGAAATGGCATCAGGCTCCATGGTGATGCCTTGGCACAGGTCGGGGACAGGCTGCACAGCCCGCCACCCTTCCCAAAGGCCAGCTGCACCCTCCGCCAGCCGGCACCGGGAAGTCGCTTGCGACATTTAAGGAGAAAAGAATAAAATACTAAACCAAACACAGCAAGGCAAATAAAACTGGTCTGCAAGACTTACGGCAACTTTGCAGCTGGAAGGAGCCCATCTCCTGCCTCACTCTCTGCAAAAAGGATCAAGTTACTCACTCCGAAAAAGTCGCCAGTGAGGAGAGTATCGAAGAGCAAAGCAAGTTTCCTGCTCCTCGCAACGTGACCAGCTCTTTCAGCTGGGTTGGGGTTTGTGAAACCGAGAGTCCGGGGCTTACCCTGCTCACCAGTCTCCCTGCTACGTTGCGAGAGTGAAACGCAGGCAGCCGAGCGTGCCAGAACAGCAGCACCGACCGGCACATCTGGTCTCCATGAAGGAAAACCCAGCAGCTATTCCTGCAGCCAGCGCCGACCAGAGCTCACAAGCATCCCTGGCAGCCACAGTTTTGCTCTGAGCAGATGAAATAGCCCCAGGCTCCCAAAAGCCCAGAGTCTGAAACAAGGTGACATGGCACTGGGTTGAGGTGAGGGCACTGGGGGACATGGTGGAAACTACCTTGCCCAACACCCCATGCCAAGCAAGGGAAATCAGGACCATCACCAGCCTTACACAACTGCTGCCTGGTGGCCAGGCAGATTTGGGTCTGCTACACCAGGAAGGAGACCCGTCAACTACTGATCTGAATGCACTTCCACCACCCTGGGAAGACATTAACTCCTTGTGGGGACACAAGGACCTGCCCAAAATTTGGAAGACTAAGCTGTCGGATGAAGAAAGCCTGGCTGGTGGACACAGGAGCACCCTGCCAGCTCATGAGCAAACAGGAATTCTGTCTTACAGTTCATCTGCTCATATAATCAGCACATGTAGAGGTCTGAGTACACAAGCATACACGCAGTATACAAGTGTGTTTGCTCAGAGTCCCAGCTTCATTTTGCAAAACCGCTGCTGTATTTCCCGACACCTTTGTATCCCTCCCGTTTCCCCTCTCCTCCCTCCATACCCACCATTCCCAACTGACCTCTAGGATCCCAGCTGGGACTCCATATCTCAAACTCCCCATCAGCATCTCATCTTCTAGATGTGCAGCAACACTGCTCTCCCAGCAGGAAACAGGCACTTGGGAGGACCCAGCCAGCACCACACGCAGCCCCTGGCTGCTCCAACACTGCATGAAGTCACCCTTTGCCTTCAGAAGCAAGGAGTCTGTTTCTTTCCCAGCTAATGCCCTCCCAGCTTTAGATTATTTCTTGTTTACTCGGACTCCTGTCAAGCCAGCACCAGCTTGCTAAGACCCACCTTGAGCTCAAGAGCAAGTGCACTCCTCAGTCCCCCACCCCAGCCGCAGCAGCTGCGGCGTGTGCCTGACACACCGAATTACCGTCTCTCCTCGGAGACAGGGACTGTAGCCCTCGAGTGCTGACTGGCCAGGGCCCTACCTGGAAAGGTAAACCAGCTGGAAAACACTCCTGTGTCAAGCCAGGGCAGCTGCCTGCAGCGAGCGGCAGGAGCTTTCCTGCCTGTCCCAAGGATGACAAGAACAGCGGCCGGGGGGGGGGGGGGGGGGG